CCACACACACACTTCCACAGGTGTACATAGAATAAAATGGGTTAGTGATTACTTGTCTGCACTTGAATGAAATCCATTACTACACCAGGCAACATGCTGTTTTAGTCTTGAGACATTTGTTCTCACTTTGCTCCTTGAGTCATCAGGTATTTCATTGATCAGCAGTTGATGCACAAGTGAAGAGCCATCATATAGAGCAGAATTAAGTTTTCACATATTTCCCAGTGCGAAGAGCCATCTTTCAAGTAAATAACTATGGTTAGTCATGACCTAACTTCAAGAATAGCTGTGAAAGATCAGAGAAACCAAAGGTGGTGTCATTAGTGAAGTTGAGTTGGTTTCTGCTACAGATGCAAAGTCAGTGGGGAGCTGAAAGGCCTCAGCCTTTGTTGTTGAGTGTTTCTTTTCTTTCCCAAGTTGAAAAGGAACCCAAGGAGTGTCACTCGAACCAGTTCACAGAGAGAAGGCAAATCCCTCCGTGTGTCTGAAGATGGGATTCAGGATATCAGCGTCTCCATCCCCGGGTTAATGAAAGAAAAGTTTCTGAACATGTTCTGGTCCATACTGTTAATCAGTGCTCTGTCCGCGAATGACAGCCGGGGTTTCTCATTTAAGAATTCCTTATCAAAATTGCTGCAGTCATATGGTGATTTCTTGATCAGAATTTGGGGTGGGAGGAAGGGCGGGGGAGAGAAGAAGGGAAGAAAATCAGCCACTAAATCAATTACCTCTACTTTTGATAATCTTAGAAAGCTGAATTATAATCTGTGTATGAAAGTGTTGATGTTTGCAGATAAACTAAACTGAAATAATACAGATGATCATATGTGGTTTTTGCTGAACATCTCTCATATCCTGACTCATCAATTTAACAATAGTATAATTAAATTCATATAAAGAAATTCCCTAGTAAACATTCAAATAGGATCTAATGTTTCTAGCTAATAGTTTACATGAAGCAGAATTGGCCACCTTTGAAAAAAAGGGTGAGCCCAAATTTGACCTCTGTCCTTTTAGTCTATAGGGAACAGTGGGTAGGGGTGGGGGCTGGGGGTTGGTGAAAGGTGGAAGAAGGAAGGAGCTTTGAGATTCTCTATTCCGGTTCTTTTATCAACATCCTTCACTGTTATTGGTTCTTCCACCTATGTTAATTTTATTATTAAAGATCTTGGACTGTTTTCCAAGACAATCCAGATTGGGACAGGTTCTCCTCAAGCCACCTGGTCCCTTTGGTGCTCATGAAAAAGATAGAGAATGTAATAACAAACACTTATTCATGAATTCTATTCATGAATTCGGTGCAATTCAGCTTTCTAAGATTATCAAAAGTCACCCTTATATATAGGAGCATAACTGAGAGTTGGGCCCCTCCCACCCTCAAGGGAACAGGCAGGGAGCTTGGTAGTAGAAGGAGAATGGCTGGAACAGGTGGTCCCATCCCCTGGTGTCTCCTTACCACTTTAGGCCTGAACGGTGGGTCAATCTCCTTTCTTTCAAGTTCTTCCCAATTGATCTCCCGAAACAAAGGGTGCTGGCGGATGTCTCCCCTCACTCCCAGCCTCTTTTCTGGCTCCCTCACAAAAAGCTGCAAAGGAGAAGAAAGGGAGCAGTTACTTCTTGAGGGATGAGCCAAGTAGCTTCAGATGGAGGTAGCATTTCTTAGTTTATAAGTCACACAAATTTGACTCTACAAAGATAAACGCCTGGCTTTTTGCCACTTGCTTTTCTAACCTTACTAGAGGCCTGATGCATGAAATTCATGCAAGAGTAGGTCTTCGAAGCCCTGGCTGCCTCGCCCACTGGTTGTTTCAGAAGGTCATTCCGGAAGGTTGTTCCATCCCGGTCTAATTAGCTCTTTATTATATACGATTATTTATTTATTTTTTTTTTACTTACTGTTATCAACTGTTGATATGAGTAAACTGGTGGCAACACTCTCACTCGAACAAGCCTTCTGAATATTTTAGAGTCTGAGATTTTGGTTTCTTACTCCCTAGAAATGCTATTTTTTGAGTTGTATAGACCTGGTTTAAAACAGCTTTATCCTAGTTATTTATAGAACTTCTGGCAAGTTACAGGTGAGTTAGTTTCCTCACCTGTAAAGTGAATGAAGTGTTCTCCTCCCAGGGCCATTCTGAGGGTTAAATAAAATAACAGCACCCACACCCACATACAACACATACACCCTCCCCCCCCCCACACACGTGTGTGTGTGTGTGTGTATGCGCGCGCGCGTGCACACTGAGTCCTGGTCTGTAAAACCCAACAACATAGAGTAAGTGATAATTTTATTTGATTCCTTGTAAGGCTGTCCTCTGGGGATTACAGCCTTGCTGTGCAGCTATAATGTAAACTAGTCCCTGACAGGTGGCTTTGGAGAAGGCAAATGATTATCGAGACTCACTCTTGAATCCTGCAAGTTTGCTGGGTGATTAATCATTCAAATCATCTTTCGTCATCTCTGACCTGTTATATAGACATTTTCCTCTTCTGTCCCCTCTCTTGTTACTTTTCCCTCTGAGGTCAAAATGAACATTGGCCAGGACAGGAAAGAAACCTGTAAACTCTTAAAACTTAAGCAAAACATGTCAAGGGCATTAAGGAACCGGAGAGTCCAGACTTGAAACTAGAAAAGTCACATGCTTTCTTAGTCTCCGGAATAGTCATCACTCTCTTTTACGTCAACTAGATGTTTATTTATAAAGTAACTGCTAGTTGGAGCATGTCATAAAGAGGCTGTGGGTTTTAAACAGAACCATGGTGGAATGCAGTATTTTCCATGAGATTTTGGCAGAACTTGACCTCCACTCATACTGAATTGCAGGGATCTTTTGTTTTTAGCAATTACAAGAATAGCCAGTCCATATGTTAAAGCACAGCTTTACTTGTGTTTTCTTACTACTTGAAAAGCTTCACAGGCTTTACTCTAGCCCCCCCACCGCCCCCCGCAAAATAAATAAAAAATAACATGCTCTAACAAAGTGAAAATTTCTCCTTCTTCTTCTTCTTCTTCTTCTTCTTGTTCTTCTTCTTCCTCTCTCTCTCTAATGAGTAGAGTCTTTTTAGTAATCTAAGTGAAATGCCATGCAATCACCCCTGTGCATGCAGGTGGTCAGTTCTGGGCACGGTTCTAGCTTCCTTTCCTCTTGACATATGATGGCTGCTGAGGCCTCTCAGTGGAAACTTGAGTTCTAAAGCATCTCACTAGAAAGCCATTACATAGTGGAAATAACATGAAACTGTCATCTAAGAAGCTTACTACCCATAAGGCCTTGGGCAAGTTTTCTGAGTCTTAGTTTCCTGACTTGTAAAATGGAGGGTGAAGCAAGTCAATCTATACTCCTGTGAGTGCTAATGTCCTCTGAGCCCCCTGGGCGGGCATTCCAGGCTCTCTGTAGTCAAATGCCAACACATGTCCTTCAATTCCCATTACAACGCACTCTGGTGTTCAGACATGTCTACTTATGGATATGCCACCTGCCTTTCCTACTTCTGTCTCTTGCTAATGACATTACCATCTTGCAAGAAGACACCTCTTCCCACATTCTGTTCCAATTTCCATTTCCTCATCTATAAATCCTGACTCACCTTTCAGGGTTCAGCTTATACCCCCTCTTCTTTGTGAAGCTTTCATTGATCACCTCTACTTATAGTGAACTCCCTCCTTTTCAAGTCATATCCATTGTCATATGGTTAATTAGAGTTAGGCATTATGCTAGATGCCTTAGCTATATTATCCTGATCTTAAAAACAGATTGTAAAAGCAGATATTGTTATGTGAGAAAACTCAAGATCACAAGTCCAGCCAGTGATAGAGCCTAAATTATCAACAGCCCATTCCTACTTCTGGTATTGGATAGTCTTCCTGTGTACTCCACAGAATGTCTTCCTTCCATTAGAGAATTAGCTACACACACACACACACACACACACACACACACACACACACACGCCTATCTTTCCTACTAAAGTGTAAGCTCTGGAGGGCAGACACCATTTATGTTTCTATTTCTTACAGAATCAAACACAGTGCCATGCACAAAGTATATGGTCAGTAAATGCTTGTTGAATAAGTGAGCAAGCTGTCTTTCTACTTTATTTATTTGCAAATTATGTGTCTTCAGTCCTCTTCTGTTAGACCAGTGATGGCGAACCTTTTGAGCTCAGCGTGTCAGCATTTTGAAAAACCCTAACTTAACTCTGGTGCCGTGTCACATATGGAAATTTTTTGATATTTGCAACTATAGTAAAACAAAGACTTATATTTTTGATATTTATTTTATATACTTAAATGCCATTTAACAAAGAAAAATCTACCAAAAAAATGAGTTCGTGTGTCACCTCTGACATGCGTGTCATAGGTTCACCATCACTGTGTTAGACTCTTGTTTTCAACATGTAGGACAGCTTATAGAAAAGGCACAAAGTTCACAGTAAGACATATTTTTCTGTAGATTCAAATACCAGTGTGAGTCACCAGATGGAAAAGCAGATTGATTTTTTAAAAGCAGAGGGAATAAGTGATTTGGCTTTATATATCTTCCCTTGAAATGATCTAATAAATTATTGACCTCCACTTCTTAAGGACATTTTGATGAAACAAGATTAGAGAGAGGATGCACGTGCCTCAAGAAAAGGGCGAACACTAGCTCATGCTGTTATAATTAAATGCTTCAGCGACTTAAGTTAGAAGTAACTGCCGGAGGCCAAGTGTGTACCATACTAGGTTTTTCATTAGATATTTCTAGTAACATGTGACATTTGTACCAAGAAGATCATGAGCCTGTTATATGTACCTGTGAAATTAAAAAAATTAAAGATAAAATGTATAATGAGAATATAATATGATCTCCAGTTTCAAGACTCAAAATTCTGCCCAGCTGGTGTGACTCAGTGGTTAAGTGTTGACCTATGAACCAGGAAGTCAAGGTAGGGAGCGTGCAAGAGGCAGCTAATCAATGTTTCTCTTTCATCATTGATGTTTCTATCTCTCTCTCCCTCTTCCTGCCTCTTTGAAATCAATAAAATATTTTTTAAAAAATGTAAAAAAAGAGTCAAAATTCTTTCTAGTTTTGCACACAAGAGTAAATTACTATCTTTCTTGCCCTGCAATAAGTCACCTCCTCTTCCTCCCAGGTTCTGAAGATGACTGTGTCTGTGGCAAGGAATTTGCATTGAGGGAATAAATGTTCATGTAGTAATACTTGGTTTTGTTCACAAAAGCTGTCAAAAGGGTGGTTTACATTGATAGAAAATAGCACACTGTTTACATAAGTGGCCAGGATGTAGCGAGAGTGTTTAAGTTCAGCTATTTAGGCAAAAAAGCAGTGCTGGGCTGCCAAGGATGGCCCACCCCGTGCTTAGCACCTGTCACTGGAATCTTCTCTTCCTCTTTGTCCACTCCTCAGATATATCTTTTACAAAAGGGAGAGGCATTCTGTTTGAGATAATGAGTTTTCCATTATTTTCCAAACAAATGGACCGGACATCCTGGATGAATAAATGGGGAAGAAAGAGGCATGCCTTTGGCAATGGTCCCTTTGCTGCAGCGTCCCAGCTGCAGTTCTTAATGGAGTGCAGCCTCCCTCCTGTGCAGTTGCTCCCCGTGTTACATGCACCCACGTGCTATGAGGGCTAAAGGGGGTAGAGTCTGGTGCTGACACTGCCGCGGTGACAGATGCCACTAAACGCTTCTTGGTTCAGCTTTTCCAGAAGACCTACTGCTCCTGGGTTTCACAACATTAGGCATAACTCCCTAGAGGAAGTTTCTCAGAAATATTACCTTTGGTTTTTGCAAAAGTCAGCCCAATTGTTAAAAGATGGGCAAGAGCTACCTTCCCCATGGAGCAAGGGCATGGGATTTTCATTAACTCCTGTGGGAAAGAATAAGCCCAAACTCTAACACATGGATTTAAATACTCTTGCAACAACAGTCCTTTTTCTTCCCTTCTTTATCCTTGTCTTGGTTTCTGCTTTATTAAACCACATTTCCTTTCTACTCTAGCTGCAAATCTTTTCCTTGCTACTGAAACTCTGCAGATTTTTTTTTTTTGTATTTGCTGGCATTTAGCCTTAGATTTTGATTTTAAACTTTATTTTTGAAATAATTACAGTATCTTAGTATGGTTGGACTACTATAACAAAATGCCATAAACTGTGTGGCTTAAACAACAGACATTTATTTCTCACTAGAGGCCTGGTGCACAATATTTATACATTCAGGGAGGTCCCTTAGCCCAGCCTGCACTTTCTCACAGTCTGGGAGCCTTTGGGGGATGTCCAACTGATGGCTTAGGCCTAAGCAGGCAGTTGGACATCCTTAGTGCTGCCATGGAGGTGGGAGAGGCTCCCACCATCACCGCTGTGCTCTCCAGCTGTGAGCCCAGCTTCTGGCTGAATGGTGCTTCCCCTGTGGGAGGGCATTGACCACCAGGGGGAAGCTCCTGCGTTGAGAGTCTGTCCCCTGGTGGTCAGTGCACATCATAGTGACCAGTCATTCTGCCATTCGGTCAATTTGCCTTTATATATATATATAGTTAAAAAAAGATGTTCTGTGGACCCTTCACCTAGTTTCCCCTAATGCTTGCATCTTACATGATTATAGCACAATATCAAGACTAGGAAACACACATTGATGCAATATGGTATAGTATGTCTAGTTCTATGTCATTTTATCACAAGTGTAGATCTGGGTCACCACCACAGCAAACAAGATACCGAACTGTCCCATCAACACAAAGCTCTCCCTTGGGATATCCCTTTATAGTCAATCCCCTGTTTCCACTATCCCCAACATAATCTGATTTCCATTTCTATAATGTTGCCCTTTCAAGGACGTTACATACATGGACTGATATAGTATGCAAGCTTTTGAGATTGGCTTTTTTCAGTCAGTTTAATGCCCTTGAAATCCATCCAAGTTGTTTTATATATCAATAGTAGTTCATTCTTTTTAAAAAAATATTTTTTATTGATTTCAGAGATAGAAACATCAATGATGAGAGAACATCAATGATTGGAT